AACCCACGGTATATAGGACCTTTTGAAATTCTAGCTCGAATTGGTTCTATCGCATACCAAATCAAGTTGCCTCAAGAGCTAAGTAATGTACACGATGTTTTTCACATATAAAATCTCAAAATATGTCTATCCGATGACACTCTTGTGGTACCTCTTGACGAGATACAAGTCAATACCAAACTCAACTTTGTAGAAGAACCTATCAAGATCAAGGATCGAGAAGTCAAAAGATTAAAGCAAAGTCGTATTCCCATAGTGAAAGTTCTATGGAACTCTTCGCGAGGACCTAAATTTACTTAGGAACGTGAAGATCGGATGAAAGAAAAATAGCCCCAAATGTTTGACAAAACCCTATCCACAAGATAAATTTCAGGACGAAATTTTTCTAACTGGGGGAGAATGTAACACTAGTCAAAATAGGTTAATAGACAATCACATGTGATTATGCCAATCATGTAATGTGATTATGTTAACCTAGTAATGTGGTAAGAATGTTATGTAGTTCATGATAAATTCTAATACAAATATGAACTTCCTTTATGATACAACTCAAAGTATACGCCCATACGATTCCAAAAATATAGAGAACGTCTGAATCTGGCTTCACATGAAGAAGTTATGATAACCGAACACTATAAATCTCTATAATAAGATAAATTTAAAATAGACGTAGAATTAGCTATTTAAGTCTAAAATAGAGTTGTAGTACTCGTAAATACCTACGCGTGCATATAAAGAGCGTCAAAAATGGAGTTCGTATGCAAAAGTTATGGCCTTCCGAAGATTTAGCTTATAAAAACCCTAAACTAGCTAATTCACGACGTGAGTTTTATGACACTCACGACGTGAGGAGTCATTCTGTCATAATTCGGAATCTAGAAGCTGCGAGAGGATAGGATCCAAATTCACGACGTGAGCTTATTGACACTCACGACGTGAGGAGTCATGGCCACCTTCCGAAGCTAGCGATGCAAATGGCAAGTATACGGAGTGAATCAGGAAGACTCACGACATGAGGCTTATGACACTCATGACGTTAGTGTCATAAAATGTTACTATAAATAGCAAGATCGACCCATTCACTTCCTTACACCATTTCTCTTCTTTCTGTCTCGTTTGCTCGCGCCGTTTCGCATCCCGAGCCCCGACGATCTCGCACGCTGATTGTTTTTGCTTAGATATCATAAAATCATGCTAGTAGGGTGAGTTTCACGGCCCCACTTTCTAATATTTCGGGGGAAAACACATGCTAGTCATTGTATATATGTTATTATTATGTCTATATGATAGTATATTAGTATCAACATAGATAGTTATAATAACCGGGATATAGTTATTTCGTATCTGAAAGTATAAAACTATCGTAACATTGTTAACATGTTATTTTTATAGTAGTATATTAATGTAGATCTTGAGGTATACTTAGGATTCTATATATATTTTGTGTGCGATATAGTTCCAAAGTTATATTCGGAAGTTTTATATGTTAAGTTATATAGTATGTCGCAATTAATAGTTTTATGTCAAGATAAAACTAGATATGTTATATGTTGTTATTATTAGTTTTATGTCAAGATAAAACTAGATATGTTATATGTTGTTATTATTAATTTTATGTCAAGATAAAACTGGATATGTTGTTATTGTTAGTTTTATGTCAATATAAAACTAGAAACGTTATATGTTGTTCTTATTGGTTTTAGGTCAAGATAAAACCTGGTTTTTACTTCAAGATATAGATGTTATACTGCCTAAATATTATGAAGTTAGGAGTAATGTTTAAAAGAAAAGTATAGTAACTTAAGGTTTTAGACATGAAGATGCATTTGTTGTTAGAGCTATAGGAAGCCGTCAAAGTCTACACGAGTAATTGTATTCATCAACTAAGATTGGGGATCTTAGCAGAAATCCTCTGAACTCTAACTGTTAATCCCATGTGAGCGAGGGAGTCGTGTATAATTAGTATACCTGCTGACCACCCCACTTGTGACTGTTATCTACAATCAACCAAAAACAAGTGATGAACTATCCTTTTATTTGTTATTGTTCTGGCGTCGATGAAGCGTACGATGTTGTTTCTCATGTTAAATCATGAGTGTATTTGTTTTCATGGTAAATCCTGAGTGTATTGTTCTATCAGAGGTATTATGTCATAGCAGCGGTTACAAGCTCATGGTAGCACATTGTTAGAAACATTAAACCTTGTCGTATACAAGTATTAATGTTAAGTATAAGTTTTCGCCTACTTATACCTTAAGATTAAGAAATGTTTAGGTATAACACTTAATTGATAAGTATACAATTATACCTAATGTTGGAGGGTTTGAGTATGCGATTCATATGAGTGTCGAGTGTCAACGGATGCTCTGAACGCGAGTAGTCCCTATTAATTATATGGTGACACATATATAAGTTAGAGTTAAGGTGTTTCATGACGAAACGTGACGGGAAATCTCTCCTAAGGGCTTTGAATCACTAGGGCTAAGTGTCCCGTGTTATATACTCAATAATCTATGCAAGTTTAAGGCCAAATATGGGTATTAGGGTGTGTGTATGGCCATAAGGGTGAGTGTGCGGCTGGGGTATGCGGCCGTACAGGGTGTGTGTGCGGTCGTACAGTCCTTGCTTGAGTCCCAGATGTTGAGTGTGTGGCCTTACTCTCACTTTGGAGGGTATTATGAGTGTGTGCGGCCACCTGATGAAGGTGTGCGGCTGCACTCCTTCATAGGATGAAGAATATGAAGAACATTATCAGTTTGAGGCTTGGATTCAAGTGTTTTACCTCTATGATAAGCTAATTGATGGTGTTATTCACGTTTTAGAGGCCTTCTAGGTGTTCTTGGGTGGTTTTCTAGAGAAAGAAAGTATAGAGAGAGAAAGGATGCAGCCAAAAGTGAATGGAAGGGGGTCCTCCACTTTATATAGGGTTGAGTGTGAGGCTGGAGGGGTTTGCTGCTGGGTGTGCGGCTCGCTTGGTCGCACTAGTCTGCAGCCGCACACACCTCTCTTGGTGTTTTTGGCTGGATTTTGTAATGCAACACCCTTCCTAATCCTTCCTAAAGTCCATATCTATGATATATTAAGCCTAAAACACTAGCGCGGACTCAATTTATTACTAAAAGATGCTAATTTCACGTGGATTATAGATATATGGATCAATTTCACAACGTACAAGTGTCGGGTTGTCACATTCTTCCCCGTTAGGAAAATTTCGTCTCGAAATTTAGAGTTCAAGTAGTTAAGTTATTACAAATAACTAGGTAAAAAGGTGGGGGTATTTACTCTTCATTTGATCTTCGCGCTCCTAAGTGAACTTCGGTCCTCGTTTGGCATTCCAATGAACCTTCACTATATGGATGCGGCTTTGTTTCGTTCGTTTGACCTCTCGATCCATAATCTCCACCAGTTCTTCCACGAAAATGAGGCTCTCGTTTATCTCGATCTCATCGAGTGGTAGTACGAGAGTCTCGTTGGATAGACACTTTTTCAAGTTTGAAACGTGAAATTTAAGGTGTATGTTACTAAGTTCGCGGGGTAGGTTGGGTTTGTAGGCCATAGGGCCGACTCTAGAGAGAATCTCGAAAGGACCTATGTATCTTGGATTTACCTTTCCACACTTTCCAAAGCGTATTGTGCCTTTCCAGGGTGAGACTTCCAGAAGGACTCGTCTCCCACCTGGAACTCCAAGGGCTTTCTTCGTTTGTCTACGTAGCTTTTCTGTTGGTCTCTAGCGGCCTTTAATCTTTCACAAATCTGAACAATCTTCTTGGTTGTTTCTCGAATGATCTCTGGACCTTTGAGTGTACTGTTAAGTATTCGCCCTTTAGCTAACTGAGTGTCACCCACCTCAGTCCAACACAGAGTGGATCTGCACTTTCGGTCGTAAAGAGCTTCAAATGGGGCTGCCTTGATGCTCGTGTGGTAATTGTTGTTGTAAGAAAACTCGACTAGTGGTAAGTGGGTATCCCACGCCTTACCAAAGTCGATCACATAGGCTCGCAGCATATCTTCCAGAGTTTGGATGGTCCTTTCACTTTGTCCGTCGGTCTGCGGATGGTAAGTTGTACTCATGTCCAACGTCGTTCCTAGGGCGTTTTGTAGCGATTGCCAAAATCTTGAAGTGAACCTACTATCTCTATCGGAGATAATAGATATAGGAACACCATGTAGTAGAACAATCTCTTGGATGTAGATTCGTGTAAGCTTTTCCATCTTGAAAGTTTCTTTGATTGGCAGGAAATGGGCGGATTTCGTCAGTCGATCGACAATTAACCAAATGGTGTCGTACCCACTCGGAGATTTGGGTAACTTGGTAATGAAATCCATAGAAATCATCTCCCATTTCCACTCAGGAATCTCGGGTTGTTGGAGCAGACCCGAGGGTTTCTGATATTCGATCTTTACCTTGGCACACGTCAGACACTTACTCATGAAGGTGGCAATTTTGGCTTTCATGTTCGGCCACCAATATAACTTTTTGAGATCAAGGTACATCTTGTCCGATCCTGGGTGAATGGAGTACTTGGTCTTGTGAGCTTCGTTCATGACCACCTCTCTGTAACCACCAAACTTCGGGGTCCAGATCCGGTCCATGAAACAATAAACTCCGTCTCCTCGAGTCTCAAGATTCTTATCCATTCCTCTCAAACTTTCATTTGTGACATTTTCTGGTTTCAGGGCTTCTATCTAGGCTTCACGGATTTGCGCGGATAAATGAGAATGGATAGTCAAAGTCAGTGATTTAACCTTTCGTCCAGAATATTCCTTCCGACTCAGAGCGTCTGCTACTACATTGGCTTTACCCGGGTGATATTGAATTTTGCATTCGTAAGCATTGAGTAGTTCGACCCACCGTCGTTGTCTCATATTAAGCTGTTTCTGGTTAAGTATGTGTT